GCATGCTTGTTGTTTGCATTGTTAATGCATACTTATGTTGCATTGCATTATGCTTGCATTGTTGTTTACTTTGTGTTAAAATGCTTATGTTGCCTTGCATTGTGTATGCATGTCATTAGCATTGGTAGGATAGCATGTTGTTTGCATGTTTGTCATTGCATTGTGTGCATGTCATTAGCATTGATAGGTTGTTCATGTTGTATTGCATCATGTATGCATGCATTACATTGTGTTTACCATGCTTGAGTTGCATTGCATGTTTGCATGCTTGAGTTGCATTGCATTTGTTTGGGTTAGGTGTTCATCCGAACATGAGAAATGAGGGATGTTTCATACTCGAAGTGATGAAACGTGCCTCATTTCTCGGTCGCCGACACTCTTGATCATGTATGATAGAGTTTAAGGCATTTATGTGTTATGTGTGCATTCATTTCACATTGATTCGTGCAATCTTGGCTTTTCGGCCATCATGCATCAAGATGCGTGATTCGTAGCCCGAGGGTCAAGCACTACACTCCATAGAGCTCATGAAATAATAGGGAGGGTGATTGTGCACACATATGTTGCAAATACATTGCCATGCCCCTTCTTGTCCTCTGTTGCAGCAAACTGGAGAAGTGCAGCAAAAACTGGTCAGCAGACCAGTAAAAGTGGCTGGCCGACCACTTTTTCTGGTCTGCAACAAAGAAAAGTGGTCGGCAGGTGGTTGGCAACACCAATAACTGGTCGGCAGCCCTCCTGAGGGTCCCCAAGATGAGTTAGAAGCTATCTGGAGCTTGGTGCAAGGTTCTGAGAACAATTGCAAACAGAGGCAAGTTGGGGCATCGCGACGGATTTCCGAACAAGGTGACCGAGCATGCATGCACTCTTCTCCCTCTGAGGACATCTCTTTACTAATTTACTTAGCTAGTGAATACTTTGATTTTGTACTTAAGTAGTTAATGCGCTTAACTATTCAATTTGTGTTGTAATAACTTAATTAATTAAGTTGTTAGTTAATTAGTTTTGTGATGTAATAATTAGTTTAATTAGCTTATATTAGCTAGTTAGCTCATTATTCGGACCCTCCGTCGAGAGGGCACAACTGTTGTAATAAGCGTGCGTATGTGTGATGCATGTCTTCCAACCCCCATTTCTTTCTCCCTTTTACTTATCCGTTTTCAGTGGTTAGTTTTAAGGCATATTTCAATTAGCATACCTTATGCTTGCATGCATGCATCATTCATCTGTTTTGCATGCACTGGGCATGGCGCATCATACAAACTGTATTGTATTTCAATTCCAAATTGAATATATGTTATCAAGTTGCATTTCATATGCCATCTTAGAGTAGCCGAGCCTATCTTAGTTGCATTTTTGCATGTGTTGCATTAGCCATCTGAACATGAACTAGGATCATGCATGCTTTCTAACTAGTTTTCTATTTTGGCTCGGAGTACACTGTGAGTGTTTACGCTTTAGCATACTGCATGAGATGTGTATGTTGTCATGTTAGCATGCTTGCCATGAGGCTAACTGCTTAACTGATATAAATGCATGAATGCCTGTGGATGAAGGTTGGATTGCTTGAATTAGAACAATTCATTGAAATGTGAGTTTTAAGTCCACTTGAGAGTGGCAAATCATGTTTTCTAAGCCCACTCGAGGGTGGCAAATCCACGTCTTAGCCTATTTGCGAGTAGCATCTTCAAACCGTTTTCAAACAACGAACATGAAATGTTTTGTTCCAACTTAGGCGATATAGTCTATACTTGTATGCTGTGCGCATCACATAGTAATTCTAGGTTAATAACAGGAATAAGAACACATGTATTTTCAAAAACAACATATCATGCTTAATAAAGGCCGATCTTTTGATCGAGCGAGCAGGGGTGCTCATAGCATGACCTTCCCCTCTCGTACCCAAGTTCCCGAGCCGAGACAACTTTGGTGATGACGGACACGTGGCCTTAGGCACGAATCGGGGTTTCCTAAATTTTCCAAAACAAAACATTTAGGTGGCGACTCTATATCTAGCAAAGTAGTCCATGTTTGGCACTTCTTTATTAAAAATTGATTTTCCAAAACGATTTGCCGGATTTGGATTCTTTGGTGATTTATCAGTCTTGCATTGCACTTTGCGAGATTAGATTCAGAACCGTGTCACGAGTTCGAATTGTAGTAGCTATGAACAACGATTCGCGCTCACACGTGCAGAGAGGAGTTCCGGGTGGTCTACAGACGTTACCTCCACAATCCGTCCCAATATCGGACCTTGTTAAGCATTAACAATAGAAGAATCATATGAGCTAAGGGAAATAGTTTCTAAGATGGAAAATCAAATTCATAGAAGGCTTCAAAGGATGGAGAACAAAATGAAGGCAATGATTTATGTCATTGTGTTTTGTATGATTTTGTATTTGATGAAGTAAATTACTGACTTTGTTAGTTTTTGTTAGTTTTGGGGTAATCGCATGGTTTGTGGGGCTATGTTGTAATGAATATTTTTGTAATATGATCTTTGTAGGTGTACTATGATCTTTGTAATATGATCTTTGTAATGAATAGTTTTTGAATATTTTTTTAATGAATATTTTGTAGGTGGAAAGGAATATGTTGTTGATGTAAATGTGGGTATAATATGATCTTCTTAGCTCATTTTCTTTTGAAATATGTTATTTCATTACTAGATCACAACTGTTGTTACCTCTAGTTGTTACCTCCAGGTTGTGAACTTTTGGCTCCCAAATTGTGCCTATATCATTTCCAGGTTGTGGACTTATACCTCCCAAACAAGTTATCTGTTGTTCACGTTCAAACATGTTTTCTATTGCATAAGTTTTGTTGGCATTTCCTTATATAATATTGTGGTTCAAACATTTCTTCTTCTACATTTGCTTCATTATTCCCAAGTCATTATCATTTTCAATCAAATATTAATCGGAGTAGCAACAAACCAAGCCACATTAATGATTCCTTCTAAACTGTATTTACTTTTAACCATAACAAAACTTCTAAGAAATTCTTGCCCAATATATCTTATCATATCATCCGTGTAACTCGAACAATCAACCAATGCATCAAAATTCCACCTAACATGGTTCATAGTCTAGTGACTAGCAACTTAAGGATTAGAAAGAGAAACAATCTGAACACAGACATGTACAAACACATGACCACTTCCTCTTTTCCCCAATCCATATCCAAATTAAATATTAAAAAATAAATCTCTAGTGTCAACCATGTGATTACAAACAAAGATTCTGGCCAATAGCTATAACACATTGCAGAGGCATTCTGGCCAATAGCTACAACACATTCTGGCCATGAGATGATAAGTAAACTTGAGGCAATGAAAGCCTAAAAATTAGAGTAAACTACCAATTACCCCAATAAGTTGAGTTCTATCATTGCCTCATATCAAAACTTCTAGTAACCTGCAGAAACAAAATACAATGCATATATTGATTCATCGTTTACAGAACCTATTCATAATATAACCTGTTCCAAACATAACTTGACAGATTCCCTGAGTAATCAAAATAGAACCTGTTCACAGTAGAAATTCAGCAAAACAGAATCTGTTCAAAACATAAGCTGTTCAAAACCTGTTCAGAATCATTTCTAATGTATCCAAAACAGAACTTGTTACCAATATATGCATTGTAACAGGTTCAAAACATGAGAACATGTCATGTTTTCAAAACATAAGCTTGGCAAGAAACAGAAGAAACCTGTTACCAAAACAGAACCTGTTGGCAAGAAACAAAACCTGTTCAAACCCACACGCTAAATGACAAAACCTGTTGGCAAGAAAAACAGAACCTGTTAAATGACAAAACCAAAACAGAACCTGTTGGCAAGAAAAACATGTCCAATAAATGCTTTCATTCTCTTCAATCCAATGATAAGGAAACCAATGTTTACAAATCAAACTATCCCAAGTTTACAAATGAAAGTCATAAACACCATAGAACAAAACTTATAAAAAAAAATGGGGCGATTGGATCCACATCTATATTCAAGTCCACAAAAGTAACTATCCCAAGTTTACAAACCAAAGTGATAAATATCATAGTACGAAACTTAAAAAAAAAAAAAAATGAGAGTTTGGATCCACATCTATATTCAAGTCCACAAAAGTTGAACCATCTATATTCGCCATTCCTGATTCACTTAAAGATGCGCTTCCAATTTTGTCCACCATTTTCAATGCGTTATCTTGTGCCTATTCAATGGCGAAGCAACTAATATTAAAAACTGTTCTCACAAATATATTTGCAAATCAGAAGAAGCAAAACTATTGAGGTGTGATATTATCAACACATACCGGTACATACATACTCTCTTGTGTCCCATCCATACAAGGAAAATAATAGGATTGAGCTTGCGGCACCTTATGATACATAATAAAAAAAAATATCATTAATAAATTCAAACATTGAAATAAATACCATACAGAAAATAGTAGTGGACCATGAAACACATACCTGATCGTACGTATTGTCTTCCATACCGTCCATACAACCGAAATTCAACTTACGAGGTTCACCTTGACCCATCTTACGACCCTATAGTAACACACATTGGTGAAAAAGTTTGACAAAAATAAATTCTGAAATTTACATACAAGCAGAAAATAAAAAATATACCTGGACTTTTGGTGCCTTTTTTATTCTTTCCCTTCAACCGATTCACTATTTCGTCCACCTTGCTCACCTTCCGTTTCGTATATGGACGGCCTCTTCGGCGAGCAACCAGAGGACTAAGCACCTTGCGAGTGCTACTAGAAGGTGGCGCATTACTACTAGAAGGTGGGACAGTACTACTAGAAGGTGGCACATTACTCGCATAACCAGATTCATCTTTTCTAACTCTTTCCTTGATTTCTCTCAACCCAAGTTGAATGACTTTGTGTTTACCATCATCATTGGAAGCAATTTCTATAATTTCATCCAATGTCTTGTTGTAGTTATCATGTACCTTTGCATTGAGGGCAGCCCCGGATTTCGTGTAAGTCATTAGAATACATGTGTACCCTCTTTCCAAATCTTTTCTCCATCTCGGCATATGTACTTATCTGGAACCTCATATATGCACCTCTCAATGAGCACACTAAGGGAATGGGCACACATGATCCCCCTAAACTCAAACCACCGACACACACATTGCATTTCAAATTCAGTTGAATTAAAGTAAACAAGAAATTCAACTTTCTTCATTTTCTCACCCACAAGCACAGCCTCCTTGACATGATAAGTACAAATGGATCCCTCTTCATTCACAAGAGTCGCATGACAATACAGTAGTCGCTTCAATTCTACTTGAACTTCTTTAAATTTCACATTTGTGTAAGCTGCATGAAATTGCTTCTCAAACTCATACACCGTTAAGCAATCATACAATTTGTTTCGAGATTTGAAGTCTGCTTTGTTCATCTTTTCCACCTTACTTCTCAATGCATTGTCGTACTGTTAAACAAATTGCTTTAAAGTAGTCTTTGAGTTTACATAGCCATCAAAAAATGCATTCATGCTCTCACTTCGTTGTGTAGTTGACATGCTAACCCAAAATATATCTTTCACATAGGCAGGAATCCACCTATGTTGCTCACCATATAATACCCCCAACCACTCGTTGTCATGGAGGCTAAACTTTTCAATCATCGTTTGCCATTCCTCATCAAATTCATCTTTTGTGAAAGAAATCATACACTACATTTTGTAAAACGAATTTGATGGCATCATATTGGGAATATCCTTTCAATTTCTCAGGAATTTTCTTCATTATATGCCATAAACACCAACGATGTCGAGCCTGTGAGAAAACAATTTATATGGCATTTTGCATGGCTCTGCACTGGTCAGTTATAATAGCTTTTGGAGGAGTGGCTGATATGCAATTTAACCATTCTTTGAATAGCCAAACAAATGTCTTCTTGTTCTCATTACATAATAGCTCACAACCAAACAAGATTGGTTGTCCATGGTAATTAACTCCTACAAACGAAGCAAACGGCATATCATACTTGTTTGTGAGATAGGTGGTGTCAAATGAGACAACATCACCAAGTACTTTTACAAGTCGCCCTACTCCTTGCATCCGCCCAAAACAAGTTTCGTATGCGACCATCTACATCAAAGTCAATTGCAGAATAGAAGTTTGAATTTTCTTGTTGCATCCTATGAAAATAAAATGCAACTGATTCAGCGTCTCCTACCCCAAGCCTCACTCTTCTAGCATTTTCAATGTGATTCCTTGCATCTTGTTCATCAAATGTTAATGCCTCATATCCCCCCGCTTCAACAACTATAGAATGAAAATTCCTAGACACCCCTATTCCTACTTCATCGTTTATTTCTAATCTTATTTTCACAGGAATACGAATCCTCTTATTCATTGGAAAATGCCGTGAGTCACTAGGAATCAAATCATACATATACTCAAGCACAACTGTAGTTAACTTATATCTTCCATCCTGTTGTAAAGTCGCTCTTACCTTTGCTTTACAACCAATTTTTGATGACAAAGATGGTTTCAGGGGGTTTACTTCTGATCTTTTTGTCCTCTTCTATGCCCGAGTACATTCAATTCCAAAGTATTTCATATTTCCATCCGCTCTAACATTCTGTGTTCTGTATGCTATAGCAAATCCAAGGTTTTTAGCATATTTTGCATAAAACTCATGCACTTCTTGCTTTGAGGTAAAACACATCCCCTTCTTAAGTTCTTCAATTTTACCACTCTCATTTAATAAAGGATTGTTCTCTGGTTCCTCAACATCCTCACCCCCACTCAATGTAGGATTGTTTGAATCAATGTCCATTGTGTGAAACATTCTACTGTAATTTGTATAAAATCAGCAAAATGAAATGCACAACAAATCATAAATAAGGTTAGAGACATCACAGATTCACAGATTCAAATTCAGTGATATTAAACACCACTTAGATTCAGATTCAGACATCACAGATTCACAGATTCACAAATTCACATAAATAAGGTTAAAGTGGATTTTAAACACCACTTAGAGACATCATAGATTCAGTGAGTACATCACAAATATAACCACTACAGATTTAGACACATCACAGATTCAGCTATAGAACAACAAGGCAACTGCAACTTTGTATACATCACACATGCCAAAACAGATTCAGCTATAGACAGATTCAAATCACAGTTTGTATACACACAAATTCAGCTATGGACACATCCAAAAACACACATACACATCACACATAGCAGAAGAATTATATAGCTAAACATCACACACATAGCAATTTTACTTTGATTATTGCAAAGTGCTGTGCATAGAAGTCTAGAAAACATGCAACTAACTGATGAAAAATTTGAAAATTCCACTCAAGATAAGTGAGCCAAGCTATATAACAAATATGGTCCGCATTCCTTAATATGGTCTTCTAATCCCCTGTCAAAACATAGAAAATCAACAAGAACATAGACCCAAAATAGATTTTTTTAATTGAAATCATCTACCCACATAGACCCAAACATAAAGAACTATTCTTCTAATCCCCGCATTCAAGCTTAACAAAAAAATAAAAATTTATAAGAAGAAAAAAAACAAAAAACGCACCAGCAGATTTAGAACGGACGACGAGATTTAGAGATTGACGGACGGCAAGATTCAAAGATTGACGGACGAACGATGAGTATAGTGAGTAATCCAAATTGACGTCGAAGTGGTATTTCGCTGGTTGACGAACAACACTAACGGTGGGCAGAGTTTTTCGCTGGTCGTCGGTGGTCACCCAGGTCGATAGTGTCAGCACCGATCAACCTCAGCGATCGTCGCTCTCACTTATTCTTCTTCGACTGGTTCCTCTCTCTTTGTCCTCTCCTCTCCTCTCTTTTCTTCTATTTCTCGCACGTGGTGTCAATTGACCAATGTTGCAACTGGGCCAAACATTCAAAAATCACCTTTTCCAATTTCGGGTGATTCGGGAGGCTCGTTTTCGAGCTACATAACGGAGTCGTTTATTTTAATAAAAATTTCTATTATTTTTTTCCCTTCAAATGGATATTTTGAATTTTCCATCTTACTAACGTAGTGTTTGATAAAATTTAAAAATAAAAAAATAAAATATTAAAAACTGTGCTGCCTTTGGAATAATTATACTCTCTGCTTTTTGTTTTGTTTTGTTTTGCTCATTATTTCATTTTTGTAGTTGTAGATTGTTGTGTAAATGAAAAATAATGGATTGTTGTGTAATGATACACAACAAAATGAAATAATGATTTTTTTTCAAAATAATGATATGTAAAAAGAAAAATTATATAAAAATTTATACGTAATAAATAGTATATCTACATTCATTCAATTCAAACAAACAAAAAAATTCATCAAAATGACTTAAAATTTTCAAAATGTTATTATTATATCATTTTTATAAAAAAAAAAATTTATGTTTTGTTTACATATCATTTTCTTTCTATATATCCTTAGAATGTTATGTTTTATCCTGAGTTTGACACCTACTCTATACCAAAAAGTAAAAATTAAAAAAAAAAAAAATCTTATGAAAAATAATAACCAAATCAAGTGATTTGTGGGCTTTGTTTAGGTTTTCAAACAATAGGATTGATAAGGTGTGAGGCCCAATAGAAAAATGATTATTTGTATGAAAAAACTTTCACTTAATTCCTAGTGTTCATATCCATTTGCCTATGGTGTTATAGTCCAAATACATTCTCCTTTCATTGAATTCCAATATGTTCAACATCAATTTTTAGCTTTTGCTGAAAACAATTAAACCTCTTCATTGAAATTTTTTAAATTCAAAAAAGAAAAAAGTGAGAGGCCACAAGTTGCTTAACAATTCCTCTCCTAGTCTTATTATAAATGACAGTCACATTGGAAATGAAAATTTTAATTTTAATTTCCTGATATCATAGGAAATATAGAGTAAAAGATTAGTAAAATATAATATTTAGGAACCAATTAAAACATCAAGTCGCTTTGGCCGAGTGGTTAAGGCGTGTGCCTGCTAAGTACATGGGGTTTCCCCGCGAGAGTTCGAATCTCTCAGGCGACGTGATTATTGTTTTTCCACTTTATAATTTTTATTTAACCCTATTGCCTTAATAAGATTGTAACCCTATTGCCTTAATAAGATTGTAATGATTGGGTTAATAGTATTGCCAAACAATAATAATGATATATATATATATTTTATTAGGAATAGATAAAATGTGAAAATTTTGCATCCATTTATTTCAAATTAAAAACTTATTATTTTTAAAAAATTATTGTCACACCATTTTGGTTAAAAAATTTATATAAAATTTATGTTTCCCCCTCTTCCTTATTTATTTCTTATTTTTATTTTTTTGAAATACATTAGAATTTAGAAGTTGTAGTCCTTTCATTCCAATGACCGCCAGTCCCTATTTGAAATATTAAGGGTGTGTATTAAAGGCGTGTATGTTAACGTTTATGCTTATAGTTTTCTTATATTTGAATTTATAAAATTCATGAAATTGTGAATAAAAACTCATTTAGTTGTTTGTTTTTTCAAAAAATTATAAAAATTTAAATTTTTATAACCACAAAAAGGTTGGTTTTACCTTCTTTTTTTTTTAAAATGTTTTATTTATTTTTTTCCCTTTATCTCACCCCTTTCAATCACCACCCATTACTACCATCAACCACCGTTGTCGATGACCTACTACCATAACCAACCACCTCCCACCAGTGTTAACTACCTTTGGCTACCATCTCTTGTTAGGAAACATTTTTAGCCACCACTTGCCACCACCAATCGCATCCCACTAGTGATAACCACCTTGGGTCACCGCCTCTTGATGGAAACAACTTATGGCTAGCTCTCTTGTCAAAAACCACTTTCAACCACCATCAACGGGTAGTAGGCAACCACCTTTGGCCACTAGTGGCAACAACTTCTGGTGATCGACAAACACCTCAAGCCATTATCTCTACCTGTCATCAAACACCTCTCGTAGGCCACCATTTCATATATTTTTGAAATAAGTTTTAAAAATCATGTTTATGTTTTTGTTTTTACAAAAAATAAATAGAAACATGTTTAATGTTTCAACAGTGCTGGGACCCCCAATGGGGGTGACCCCCAACACCCCCACCTCCACGTGGGGCGCTGTGAGAGCAAGACTAAAAAGAAAATAAAAAAATTTGAGCCAATCAAAAAATAATGGGGGTGGTGGGGTCTAAGACATTTTTGTTAATGTTTTCTATAAATTAAAAATAATAAATTACAAACATTATCTAACAACACCTAAATGTTTAATTTAGTTTTTTTTTAATTGTTATTTTTTGTTTTTTATGTTTTTTTCTTTTATCTCTAGTGAACTTTTTTTTTCATAGTTTAGTCATTTTTTTTAATATATGTAAAAAAATATAAAAAAGAAAAGATTACTAAAAAAAACAAGCTACATTTTTTTTTTCTTTTCTTTTTTCTTTACAAATTTCGTTATAGATATTTTACTTTTTAGGCACAATTAGATTACGGGCATTAAAAAAAATTAAAAATTAAAAAGAGAGAGAGCCTAAATATTACCCAAAAAATAAAAAGCTCAAAAACAGTCTTCGAAAACCAAACTGAACAACCAGAGCTATTTCGTTATGTTTTCATTTGTTATTTTTTGTTTTTATTTCCCTTCAAAAAAAAAAAAAAAATCCGTGGCAAATCGCTTTAAAAAAATTACTGGAAAATACACCATTAGTCCTTAAATCTTACCTCTTATATTATTGTGATTTCTACATTTTTAATTGATTCAATTTTGACCATTGATTTTTGGATTGTGTCAATTTGGTCCAATTGATAATGTTGTTAGACCACGTTTGTTTGGCAGATTAGGTTGGAGGAGATTGTTGGTGAGGGGATGGTTAGTGAAGAGATTATTAATATGGGAATCGTTAGTGAGGGAATTAAGTAAAAATGTGTTTGTTTTGATAACTGGGTGGAAGATGGTTAATGATGAGATTGTTAAATTATTTTTAAATAAAATAAATTAAAAATATATTTCTATATTAAAAAAATTAAAACAAATACTAAAACAAAAGGTTCATTTGGGATTATTGAAAAAAAATAAAAATAAAAAATAAAGTTGGCCAGTTAGCTATTTTTTGGCTGGCCGAATGTTTTTTTGGTTGGCTGGCTGGCTACATTTGTAAAAAAAGAAAAAAAAAGAAAAAAGAAAATGCATTGTACCAAACGTCCCAGCGATCATTCGAGCAGACGACCGAATAGATTGAAGCCACTCACTATTTTCTTAATCCTACTCATTTCTCAGCCAAACTAATCCCCTTACTGTGGAGATTGCTAAGCTGCCCAGATTGTGGAGGCTGACTCTCCCAAACTACACCAAACATGTTGTGGGTGGGAACCATAGCAATCCTACTTGTCCGGATGCTGAAGCAGCCAAACAAACGGGGCCTTAGTATTTTTGACAAAAAATGAACACTTTGAGGTGTGGGTTGGCTTTTCAGCTATTTTACCCTAGGGTTAAAAAGTCTCGTTTGGGATGAACTTTTTGAATTTTTTGACTTTTGTAAGAGAAAAACTGAAATGATTATGATTTGGATGTGACATTTGTCTTATTGACTTTTTAGCGTATTTTGTCTTTTTGTGACTATTTTAACCCCATAGCCTTGTGTCAGACGAGTGCTAACTTTGTTGAGGTTACTTCACTGATATGAGCAAACTTATAATTTGCCCCTAAAAATAAGACTCTTATCATTTATGTACATATTTTTAATTTAAAAAATGCGAACAGTTGTAATCAATTGGATTAAATTGAGATAAAATCATAAATTCATGATCA